TCTAGTACGTAAATTTAAACAATGCAATAATGAGATAGTGGCAACTAGCTGAAATGAAATACATTTTTGTTAATATTTTGAATTAGAATTTTGTTTTACTTTAATTTTAGATAAAGTTTTAGTAATTTTGTGTTTTTATAATTTTTATTACAAACTAAAATATATTATATGTATATTGTGTATAGTTTTAATACGTGTATAGTTTTAATTAATTTTAAATTTATTAGATGTAGTTGCTTTAGGACGTAAATTTAAACTGTTCAAAAATGAGATGCTGGCAACTAGCTGAAGTGAAAAAAATTTTTTTTTGTTAATATTGTTATTTAGAATTTATTTTTAGATTTTCTGTTTTCACAATTTCAGGTAAAGTTTTAGTTATTATTTGTGCAGTTTTTATAAACATAAAAAAAAACCCATATATTTTTTTTACATTTGTAATAAACAAATATACAGTTTTTAAAAATATAATTATTAAATTTAAACTAAACAGTTTATAAAAAATATTTAGTTATAATTATTTATAATGTTATTTTTTTTAATGGTTTTTAAATTTTAGTTATAATAACCCTGTGTAGAGGATGTTGTTGTTTACCTGCAGTCAGTGCACTCGACGTATTGTCCTGGTTCTGTTCGGTCCGGTCCAAACCCGGGTTAGAGACCTTCGCTGTCAGAGCGGCCAATAAAATCTGCCTTTATGGCTCAGTTATTGTCTTTCTGTCTGCAATTACGGCGATTACTCATTTCCTCGTCCGGCCCGCACCGCGCACTTAACAGAGTGCATTTTACTAATGGAAAATTAAGTAGCGCCCATGACAGTCCGCTTTATAAATATGTAAAATACACTTTTAATTATTTGGAGTGAATCTGGCAGGTAATCAATAACGCTGGACGTGACAAACATACGCTTGACACTGGCCATTGTAAAGCGCCGCTTAAAAGATAAGAGTTTCGTGTCAGCGCCGTCCGGCTCCAATTAATATTTGGAGTCTGTCACTGCGTGGGACAAATGGATTAATTGCGGGCCGCTAATATAATAGCTTCTTCATGAAGAGCTCAGGAGGAGACCGGCTTGAACTCTGACGTTAAATATTCATTAGAGCTTGTGTTTGGAATTATCTGTGATTATAATGCCATGTTTATAGTTTATTCTGAGGTGTCGTGATTATCTGAAGAAGTACTGCAAACACTGATCATAGCTTTCGTAATGCTCAACAGATCAGAGAAATTATGCTGTGAACCGTCGAGTCACATTTTCATATAGTTCATATTTTAATGCACATGAATAAGCTTTGGGCGGTAACGTTATTTTGTTAAAATAAGTCTATATAATTTGTATTCATTTTTATTTCAGTTTTAGTTTTAACTATTTTATTACATAAAGTTAAAATAAATTAAAATGAGAAATGTTGCCTTGGCAACTAGCTGAAATATTTTATTTATTTATTTATTTTATTTCTGTTAACGTTTTTTATTTACCCTAATTAATTTTTTTATGGTTTTAATTTTAGTTTTAATTTTAGCTACCTATAATAACCCTGCTTGCATTGGTTATTGGTGCGTTCATGACATATCGAAATTAGTAAAAACAAAGTAGAAAGCAGAATATGTTGATTTTATTGTTTTTAATTAAATTCAGTTTTGGTTTTAGTATTTTTTGTGAATTTTTGTAATTTTTATTACAAATTAAAAATATTTGTAATTTAAATTTTTTTTTTATATAGTTTTAGTTTTAGTTATTTTACTTAAATTAAAATGAGAAATCTTGCCTTGGCAATTAGCTGAAATGTGTGTGTGTGTGTGTGTATATATATATATATATATTAGGGCTG